AGTCAAGTGCCTTAGCCACTATGCTACCAGAGCTCCCTCCCTCACAATTAGGAAACAAATTAAGTCTTTTATAAATTTACAAAGAGTTAGCAGAAATTGAGCAAGATCTCAAGGACTGAAAAGAAGTCCAATCTGGGGGAGTCAGGAAATCCAGACTGGCTGACACCTGGTTAACTGGTGTTTGCTTCACCTTAATTATAGAGTTAAGAAATTGTTACATGCTCTGTCTTAACATTTTCAATTCCAATCCTATTTCCTAACCTGGGGGGAGGGGAGGGCGGGGATGCTTGGGAAAGGCATTCTTCTTGAGTAAACTGAGTAAACATTCTTAACAGGCACCTTCAGCAAACAATTCCTCACCCAAACCAGAAATCCTGACTCTTGCTCTCTTTTGTTTTACAAGCAGTTAAACTTTGACCAAAAAAAAAAAAAAAACTCTTCGCAACAAAATCAGAAGTTTCTAGATCTGCCCACATTTGATTCAAATGGAGTTTTAAATTAGCTACCGTTTTCAGTTATTCAAGCACCTCAGTTTTAAAACTCTCATACAGTTAATCACATTTTGTTTCAATTTTATAAGTAATAACTAGTGTGTGTGTAACTCTATTAATGTTATAAGCAGATATCCAAGTAACTCAGAACAGAACTAATAGAATGGAATAGAAATTTTCATGACCTGTAGTCCTGGGGATAAAGACTAGGAGGCAAAAAAGCACAATGACTCTGCAAAATGTAACCTAGTTAGGAACAACATGCCCATGATTATCTAAACCATAGCCAACCTGGATGCAGAGTGGGGAAATTGCAAACAGAATGCCATCCTCAATAAAAAATAGTTCTGTGCCTACTGCAAAAGATCAGCATAAATCAACACAATGACCACTGACCATTTTCATTGCCTAGCAACCTGAGTGATGATGACCCAAATCTTTAATATTCAGTTTAAAATCAACAAGTTTTTAGCTTTATAGGAATAAACATTTTTCCAGCAGGACATCAAAAAAAAATAAAAAATGTCCAGAGTAGTTGCCACTAGGGAGTATAGCATGTGAGGGTGTAAAAATAAGTTTTTTGCTGGATGCTAAAACCTGAAAGATAGAAACTGTCCCAAATTCTTTAGAAAATGGCCTGTTCATAAATAACTAACAGATCTTGGGTTTGTTGACCCCTGTGACCCACAAAGTTTTATGCCTAAAGTAACAATTCCTTAAATCATTTTGCTATTATCGATGAGAACATGTGATCACCAACTGTCTGCATTTATGACTACATGCCATTTGAACATCCTTTATCCTATTTTTAAGGTTCCTGGGTAGTGTAAACAGTTGGCTCTCAGCTACCAATCTAAAGGTTGATTCAAACACACCCAGTAGTGCTGCAGAAGAAAAGCCTTCCATTAGGAGCACAGCCAAGAAAATCCTACGGAGATCTACTCTACAATACATGGAGTCACCATGAGTTCCCTATTTTCACAAATGCCAAAGTTTAATTAAGTCTCTTAATTTCCTTGTTCTTGGGATATAAACCCTTATCTCCTTTCTGTCTGTGGAGCTCCTTTCCACTTTTGGTTTGGATGGATCATTTGGTTCCACTCAAACTCAATATAATTTAAAATTTGCCTTCAACTCTCACTGCCCTCAAGTTAATTCCAACTTACAGAGACTCCAATTGGGTTTCCAGGGGTATAAATCTTTATGGGACCAAACTGTGTCATCTTTCTTCCATGGAGCAGCTGGTGGGTTTGAACCACTGACATTTTTTGGTTAACAGCCAACTGCCTTAACCACTGCGCCACCAGAGCTCCTCTTAAAATTTGCCTTTCTCTCTGAAATTTTCTTTGACAGAGGTAAGGTAGAGTATGAAGGGATTACTTTTTAGTTTATACCTTTCTGAAGTTTTTGGCCCTAACCAAGTATTTGTATTTCTTTTTTTGTTTACTGTCAAAATGGGCTAAATGGTTTTCTTATAGGCTTTTTTAGAGTTTAGTTTTTAAATCATAATGAAAAACTGAAGCCAGATCTCCTTAAAAGGTTTATAACTCTCAACAAAGGTATTATTTGTCAGTAGACTCTCCTTGATATCGTATTTCACCTAGTACGTTTGGAGTTTTCTTCTATTAACTATATTTTAAGTGACAATGTACAGCTCTCTTCCTCCAAAATAACACAGAAACAGAGTGAGTATAACATAGATGCTAAGAAAATATACTAAGATATAAGCAGATGATGGTTAAATCTGGTTAACAGGAATCTATGTAGATTTAGTTTCTTTTTTATATTGTTTTTGTTTGTGTTCTGCAGATTTACTATTATGTTTATAAATCATAAAAATAAACTCAAAAAATCAGTCTAAACAATCATGAATCAAATCTGTAACTGGGAAGACTAGTAATATATAAACAGGCAATTCCCAAGTTATGAATGTCCAACTTACATACAACCCATAGTTATGAACTGATACCATAAAGTCTATTATATTGAAATTTAAGGTACATAAAAATGTTTCATAATAACACATAATGCTTCTTTGTGACCCACATCAAGGTATTATTATTACTTATTATTATGTTAAAGATGTTTTAGTGTATCTGGAAGTGTTTCTTTAATGATTTTTATGAACAAAAAGGTCACAATATATTATACACTGAGACAAACATTTGACTAACTGACATTAGACAT